GGCCTCTGGCAGTGCTTCATCGAGGCGGGAGCTACCCTCTCCACAGAAGTTGCGCGAGTGGTTTGCCCAGCGCTGAAGCCGTGCTGCTGGAGCTGGAGGTGCTATGGCTAGTGCTGACCCTGAGTCAGCACTGGAGTTACTGGAGCCACTTGTCTTGGAGGTGCTCGTACTGGCGGTACTAGAGCTGCTGGGAGTGGAGGTTCTGCTGGGGCTGGTGGAGTTGGTCCTATTGTTGGTGCTGCTGGAGCTGCTGGAGCTGGTGCTGCTGGAGCTGCTGGCACTGCTGGAGCTGGTGCTTTTGAGGGTGCTGGAGTTGGCGCTGTTGGAGCTGGAGGTGCTTTTGGCGCTGGTGCTGCCGCTCGGGGTACTGGTGCTGTCAATGCTAGTTCTGGAGGCGCTGCGCGGCCGCGGCCGTACTTCGTTCCGCTCCTTCAGCAAGTTCTTGGTCTCCCGCCCTCTACTGGTCCTATTCCTCCCTTAGAGTGTCTATAGCCGGTCCACTCGCGGTCACAGTTACAGCCCGCCTCCCCCCTGCCTGCTCGTTCTTCCTAAACTGGTCCTACTGGAGGTCTTGCTGAGTGTCGTGAGCCTGCGTCTCGCCCTACGTCGCCTGTTCGTGCTGCTCGCACTAGTAGTCGTGTTCCGCGTCCGCGTCCTCCTACGGTCCCAGGCACACACCAGATGGCACTTCGTCCTTCCAGTGCTCCTGTGCATGTCCTGTTGCCGTCTCCTCCAGAGTCCTCTCTTCCTGACCTTGCTGACCCTAAGTCTGACTCTCGTCGTGCTGCCAGTCCTACTGTCACGCGTCTCCTGGCTACTGTTGTCACTGACCCTTCCTTTGAGTCCACTCCTGCGTCTGCCTTGGTTGCTGAGCTTGTCGACTTTGCTGCTCGCTGTCGTCTAGACTACGCTGCTAGTCTTGTTGCTGAGTCTGAGTCTGTCTATCCTCCGTCCGCCGGAGGTGAGTGTGCTCTTAGCACGAACGTCCTTGAGGACAGGTAGGAGGAGTTCAAGTGTTTTGCTGCTGCTTTGCCTCATCTCGTGTCCACGATGATTGCCCCTGTGGGAGACCCGGATGCACCAGACATCCCGACTCCTCGATCGTATGCTGAGGCGATCGAGGGTCCCTACTCCTCACAGTGGCGGTCAGCCATGGACACAGAGATAGCTTCTTGGAAGTCCACACGCACCTACATCGACGAGGTTCCCCCACCTGGGGCGAACATCGTCAGTGGCATGTGGATTTTCAGGGTGAAGCGGCCGCCGGGTTCTCTGCATGTCTTCAAGGCGCGTTACGTGGCTCGAGGCTTCAGTCAGCGACAGGGAGTTGACTACTTTCAGACCTTCTCTCCCACCCTGAAGATGACCACTCTTCGGGTGCTGCTGCACATAGCCGCTCAGCGCGACTACGAGCTTCACTCTCTTGACTTCAGCACAGCTTTCGTGCACGGCAGCCTGCACGAGGAGATCTGGCTGCGCCGCCCACCTGGCTTCACTGGGTCGTTTCCCCCTGGTACCCAGTGGAGACTCCGGCGGCCAGTCTACGGTCTCCGCCAGGCGCCCCGTGAGTGGCACGACACACTGAGGACTACACTTGTGGCTCTTGGGTTTGCTCCTTCTACTGCCGACCCGTCGCTGTTTCTGCGCACCAACACCTCTTTGCCGCCGTTCTACATCCTCGAGTACGTCAACGACTTGGTCTTTGCCACTGCTGACACTGCTGGACTCACCCACGTGAAGTCCGAGCTGCAAAAGAGACACACGTGCACAGACCTAGGTGAACTGCGCAGCTACCTTGGCTTGCAGATCACCCGGGACAGAGCACAGCGCACCATTACCCTGACTCAGTCACACATGGTGCAGCAGGTCCTTCAGCGCTTCGACTTCACGTACTCCTCGCCTCGGGCCACTCCTCTGCCTACTCGCCACTCGCTCTGAGCTTTGCCTTCGGATGAGTCCGTAGAGCCGAGTGGCCCGTACCCAGAGCTTGTTGGCTGCCTCATGTACCTGATGACCAGCACACGACCTGACCTTGCATACCCTCTTAGCATCTTGGCACGCTATGTTGCTCCTGGGAGACACCGACCAGAGCACATGGCTGCAGCGAAGAGGGTGTTGCGCTACTTGTGCAGTACGTCGGGCATGGGGCTAGTGCTTGGACGGCGATGTCGAGTGGTCCTCACAGGTCACGCAGATGCTTCTTGGGCTGACGACCAGGCTATGCAGCGGTTGTCACAAGGTTACACCTTCAGCCTTGGTTCCGGCTCTGTTTTGTGGCGTTCTACACGCTCTTCTTCTGTTCTCGGCTCCAGCTGTGAGGCTGAGATCTACGCGGGGGCCATGGCTGCACAGGAGCTACGCTGGCTCACCTACATGCTGACTGACCTAGGAGAGCCACCTCGTTCTTCTCCAGTTCTGTACGTAGACAACAAGGCCATGCTGGCCTTGTGTCGGGAGCACAGAAAGACGCACATTGCTCTTCGCTACTTCCTTGCTCGTGAGCTGCAGCAGCGTGGTCAGCTGCGCCTTGCTTACGTGGCCTCTGAGGCCAACACTGAGGATATCTTTACCAAGGCACTTCTGCCTTGTGATCATCAGCGCTTCTGTACGATGCTAGGTCTTGTGCCTACTTGGCCTCACTTCTTGACCTTGCTTGTACTGTTATCTTTCTATACCTGCACTTGCTTGTTTACCTTTATATATGATCTTGCATGTGAACTGGCCTTGTGGCCTTGCTCTTGTGCTCGGAATGTATGGTGACGTTGTGATCCACCCTGAGCTTGCTTTGCTTTGCTTGAGTGGTCTTGTGACCTCTTGTTCTCCCCCGCTTTGCCTATGGGGGTGTGTCAAACTCATATGCTATAGTCTGTGTAGGCTGTAGTGGGGTAGACAATATGGGGTACAACATTTATAGGTTTTCCTACTTGTACCCACCTCTTTCCTAGTTCATTCATTCCTGATTTCGTCACAGGAAGCTGCAGACACACAAGAGCTGCTGGCTCAGTGGCTACCGAAGCAATGGCCCGGACTACAGGAGTAACTGGCTCCGCGGAGATTGTAGCCTCCTGACTGGAGCAACTGACCCTCACGCGACTGGCGACTATCTGAGATTGTAGCCTCCGGACTACGCGTGCTGCTGGCGACACGACTACGACCTCTGCTCAACCTCCGCCAACTGCCCCACGCCCCTAGCACACACCCCCTGCTGCACCCCTAGCTCCACTCCCACGTCACCCCCCTAGCACCACTCCTTCGGCTCCCACACACCCACCCCCCTGAGTGGCAGCTGCAGCAACGGGAGACGGAGGAGGAGTAGGGGACGGCGCACACAACCGGCACCCCCACAACCGCCACCCCCATACTCCCCACCCCCAAACCCTAAAACGGGTGGCACGGGGTAGGAGCGCGGGGGACGGCGAGGGGGGACGGCGCGCGGCCCCCTCCGCGCCACCACGGGGCAGCAAAGGGGGTCGCGCACGGCTCCAGGGGTGGAGCGCGGCCCTCAGGGCGTGCCTATTGTGGACGCGGGTAGAACAGCCACTACTGCACTGTTTATGCCGATCAATTTGTTGCCGCGCCATGTATGTCGTATTAATGGGCTTTAAACGTTCGATTTCTCCCCGCGTCCACGATTTCTGCCCAAAACTGCGTCCACGATTTCTCCCCGCGGGCCACGTCAATGTTGTAGATCCACTCGAGTGCCGGTCCACGTAACAGTGTTGCTGTGAGCCGAATCCTTTCTGCGTCATACGTCGGGGTCAAACAGCCAATGGCCTCGAAGTAAATTTCGAGGGTGGCCACGAATCGCCGGACGTCGGATCCCTTCGCGCTTGGATCGAACGCCTCCGGGAGCCTCGGTCGTGCTGCTTTGAGGTTCAGCGACATTGGTGCCATTGGTCCGTGAAATGTTGGTGTCGCCACTGCTGTCGGTGATATCGTTGCTACGTTCGCTGCTGTTGCGGTGACGAATCCTGGTTGGCTTGTCAGAAGGGCTTCGAGTCGACGAAGCGTCGCCTGCGTCTGCTCCATGTCGGTGCGGAGGCTCGCGATGTCGCTCGTGGTCGCGTAGTTGTCGCCTTGGCCCTCCATGCCTGACATTAGCGCGTCCGAAAAACCGAATCGAGGGGGAGCGAAAAACACTGAACCGGTTTTACGTACCCGAAATCGATATTTAACTACGTCGCCCCCGCGGTTTTTTAAGACTGGTTTTTAGCGGTCGAAAAAACTTCGCGTGTAAACACGCTCTGATTACCAAGTGTGGGGATCTTAGGATCGAGCTCAGAAAAGATGATTTGAATTGAATGATCACCTCGGTACAACACGAGGCTATATATAGGCTCGACATAAGGCAGGTAACCCAGGTGTTACGCGAATATTCTGAGGGTCGCGAAGCGTCTCGAACAGACACTTCCCGAACTCGGTAGAAAGCAATTCGGTGGCAACCGAATAGCTTGAGTTCAGTACATGTAACCTGGTTCGGTGCCTAACACTATAATAACTGTAGTAAAGCAACGAACCTAGGAATCAAGCAATTCATGCATGCATACGATAAACCTAAGCTAGGAGTAGCGTAAGGGAGTAAAAGCAAGCATGAATAACAAGCATAAGCCGTCGTACTCTCACATTTGAGCACTGGCACCAGAATCGGCGGCCACAAGTGCCGCCTGGGCAGAAGACTGACGACGCTGACGAGAGAGTTGAAGCCAGTTGGGAGGGCGACCAGTGTTGCCAGCCAGGAACCGGTCATCGGTGAGCTTCTGGAAGCAGGAGGTGGCGGGATGATTGGTGCGACCGCAGGGCTGACCCTTGCGGGGCCCCTGGCGAATGATGTAGGTGCAAGGAGGAAAGGTGTTGCGAGGGCGAGAGGAAGCGGCAGCGGCAGTGGTGGTGGGGAGAGGAGGGGGGGCGGAAGAGGGTGCGACAGCGGCGGCAGTAGGAGGGCAGCTGCGGATGTTGAGCTCTGACTAGAGGAGGAAGGCAGAGACACGAGAGAACGACCACTAGTCGGCGGGGCGCTCACCATACAGGGTGACATGAACACTGTATTCAGGAGTGAGGCCTGTGAGGATGAGGGCACCGCAGACATGATCAGAAAGTTCGAACTTTTGAGCAGCAAGTTGAGAGGACAGCGTCTGCATACGAGCGATATAGTCCGCCATGGTGGTGAATTCAGCAAGGCGAAGAGAAGTGAGCTTGCGTAAGAGGGCAATGACACTGATGAGAGTCTGCGACTGGAAGCGCTCAGTGAGATAGCCGAGAAGGTCCTTGGCATAGCGGATGTGCGAGCACTGAGGGAGAAGGGTTGGAGGTAGGCAGGCAAGGATGACCTGGCTGGCACGTGCATTGGCAACAAGCCAATCAGCGAGAAGGTCAGAGTGAGATGGAGCAAAAGCAGAGGGCATAGGGGCAGAGCGAGGAGAAGGGGTAGCGAGGTGCTCAGTGAGGCACTTGCGGGTGCTCTCGAGGGATTCAGAAAGAACACGAGCGAGGTCACGGGCAGCAGCATTGTTAGGAGCAGCCGCGGCAGTGGTTTGGGCCGTGGCCGCAATCCGCTCAGTTTCAGCGATAGCAGCACGAAGGCCATCAGCATAGGGATCAGAGGAGGTAGAGGTAGGTGTAGAGGCAGGTTTAGGAATGGCGCCAGAACCACTCTGCTGAGTGACAAACCAGAGGTTAAAGCCACTCTCGAAGGTGCCAGACACCGTGCGCTCAAGACAGTTCAGCCAACTGGGGAAGTTGACTGCGCTGCCATCAGGCGCGAGTTGAAGGACCAGCAGAGGGAGGGAGGGGAGGGCGAGAGAAGTCGCCATAAGGAGGAGGAGACAGCTGCAGAGCAGATGAGGGGAAAGGTATAAGAGTCGGAGGAATAAGGGCGAAGCAGTCTGCTGCTGAGCCGCTGAGGGGAGAAAACAAGGGGAGGAGGGATATGGACGGAGTAGTCTGCTGCTGAGCCGCTGGGGGGAGAAACAAGAGGAGGAGGAATAGTGGGGGAGTAGTCTGCTGCTGCGCCGCTGAGGGGAGAAACTAGAGGAGGGATAGTGGCGGAGTAGTCTGCTGCTGCGCCGCTGAGGGGAGAAACTAGAGGAGGAGGGATAGCGGCGAGGTAGTCTGCTGCTGGGCCGGTGAAGGGAGAAACAAGAGGAGGAGGGAGAGTTGTGAGGGAGTTTGCAGTTGAGCAGTTGAGGGGAGGGTAGTGAGGAGGAAGAAAGGTGGGGAGGAGTAACAACTTCAAAAACGCAATCAGCACCAGCTGCAGCAGATGAGGAGAGAAAAGAGGTGGAGGAAAATGGGGGTGAAAAAGTGGGAGGGGATCGAGAGGGAGAGAGGAGAGGAGGAGGATGGTGAAGGGGCGGACTGGTGGGAAGGGCCTGCCACAAGTGCGTACGAGCTGCGGCAGAAGAGGAGAGAAAAGAGGAGGAGGAAGGGGTGAGATAGTGAGGGATGCACAAAGGAGACAGGAAAGGAGGAGGAGGGTGAGGGAGGGAGGGCGGATTGTGAAAGGGCAGGGCGCGCCGCAGAGGAGGCAGGTGCGCACGCTGCTCAACGAAGCGAAGCGCGCGCTGCGACGGCAGCGCATTGCGCACGCGACGAGACGGGAGGGGGGCAGAGCCGGGGGGGGGGGGGGGGGGCGACTAAGCGCGCTACGAACAGAAATCGGCGCGCTACCGCCGGAAACGTGAGGAGGAGGAGGCGTGACGAAGAGGGAAAGCGCGGGAGAGCGATATGAACGGGAGGGAGGCGCGCTACGGAGCAGAATTGAGTATCCGCGTGACTAAAGTGAAGAAAACCGCGAGGATGCTAAGAGTGACTATAAAGAAACGAGAAAATAAATTAAAAAGGAAAATTGTCTAGCTAAGTTGCGCGGAAATGGCCTAAAGGCAAGAAACTTTCTAAGCGATGCGGATAAAACGGAAACGCCTAGGACTAGGCTCTGAATACCATGTTAAAGAAAGAGAAGCCATGGATGGCGAGAGGTTTTGGTGAGGTAGAAAAAGTACGACTAGGAGGAGAATGATGAGATAGAGGCGAGGAATGATTGCACTATGAAATGAAACAAGTACAAGTACCAACCCTAATTGGGTTGTACCCCCTATGGGCTACCCCACTACAGCCTAAATATATGCATCAGTAATATAATCATCTGACACACCCCCATAGGCAAAGTGGGGGAGAGCAAGGGGTCACAAGACCAGTCAAGCAAAGCAAAGCAAAGCAAAGCAAGCTCAGGGTGGATCTCAAGGATACCACACAAATTCCGAGCACAAGGTCAAGGCCACAAGGCCAGTTCACATGCAGCAGAGCATATATATATAACAGTGCTAAACAAGCAAGAGCAAGGATATATATATGCAGCAGTACAAGCAAGGTCAAGAGGTAAGCAAGTGAGGCCCAGTGGGCACAAGGCCTAGCAGAGTGCAAAAGCGCTGATGGTCACGAGGCGGAAGTGCCTTGGTGAAAACATCAGCAGTGTTGGCCTCAGTGGCCACGAAACGCAGGCGAAGCTGACCACGCTGCTGCAGCTCTCGAGCAAGGAAGTAGCGCAGAGCAATGTGCTTCGTCCTGTGCTCCAGTCTATGCTCCTCACACAAGGCAATGGTTGCCTTGTTGTCGACGTACAGCACTGGAGGAGAACGAGGCCGCTCTCCAAGGTCAGTCAGCAGGTAGGTGAGCCAGCGAAGCCCCTGGGCAGCCATGGCCGTGGCGTAGATCTCAGCCTCACAGCTGGAGCTGAGAACCGAAGAAGAGCGAGTAGAACGCCAAGAGACAGAGCCAGAGCCAAGACTGAAGGTGTAACCCTGAGACGACCTCTGAGTAGCCTGGTCGTCAGCCCAAGAAGCGTCTGAGTGCCCAGTGAGCACAGGCCGCTCACGCCCTCCAAGCACTAGCCCCATGCCCGACGTACTGCACAAGTAGCGCAACACCCTCTTAGCTGCATCCATGTGCTCCTTCCGGTGACGGCCGGGAGCAACATAGCGTGCTAAGATGCTGAGAGGGTATGCGAGGTCAGGTCGAGTGCAAGTCATCAGGTACATGAGGCAGCCCACAAGCTCTGGATACGGACCACTCGACTCTACGGACTCATCCGAAGGCAGAGCTCAGAGCGAGTGTCCCGTAGGCAGAGGAGTGGACTGAGGCGAGGAGTACGTGAAGCCGAAGCGCTGAAGGACCTGCTGCACCATGTGTGACTGAGTCAGGGTAATGGTGCGGCGTGCTCTGTCCCGGGTGATCCGCAAGCCAAGATAGCTTGTCAGTTCACCCAGGTCTGTGCACGTCTGTCTCTTCTGCAGCTCGGACTTCACGTGGGCGAGTGCGGCAGTGTCCGTAGTGGCAAAGACCAAGTCGTCGACGTACACGAGGATGTAGAACGGCGGCAGCGAGGTGTCGGTGCGCAGAAACAGCGACGGGCCAGCAGTAGAAGGAGCAAACCCAAGAGCCGCAAGTGTAGTCCTCAGTGTGTCGTGCCACTCACGCGGCGCCTGGCGGAGACCGTAGACTAGCCGCCGGAGGCTCCACTGGGTACCAGGAGGGAACGACCCAGTGAAGCCAGGAGGGCGGCGCAGCCAGATCTCCTCATGCAGGCGGCCCTGCAGGAAAGCAGTGCTGAAGTCAAGAGAGTGTAGCTCGTAGTCACGCTGAGCAGCGACGTGCAGTAGAACCCGAAGAGTGGTCATCTTCGGGGTCGGAGAGAAGGTCTGAAAGAAGTCAACTCCCTGTCGCTGACTGAAGCCACGAGCCACGTAGCGCGCCTTGAAGACAGGCGGAGAACCCGGCGGCCACTTCACCCTGAAGATCCACATGCCACTGACAATGTTCGCCCCAGGAAGGGGAACAGCGTCAACGTAGGTGCCTGTGGACTTCCAGGAAGCCATCTCTGCGTCCATGGCCGACTGCCACTAAGAGGAGTAGGGACCGGCCATCGCCTCTGCGTAAGAGCGTGGGGTCGGGATGTCAAGAGCATCCGGGTCTCCCTCAGGGGCAACAAGCATGGACACGAGATGGGGCAAAGCGGCGGCAAAGCACTGGAACTCCTCCTGCCTGTCCTCAAGGACGTCCGTGCCAAGAGCACAGTCACCCCCGACGGACGGAGGACAGGCAGACGCAGATGCAGCAGACGCAGACTCAGCAACAAGACTGGCAGCGTAGTCCAGACGACACGCAGCAGCAAAGTCGACCAGCTCAGCAACTAGGGCAGACGCAGCAGCGGACTCAAAGGAAGGGTCAGTGACAAGAGAAGCAAGAAGACGCGTGACAGTAGGACTGGCAGCACGGTGAGAGTCCGACTCCGGGTCGGCAAGTGTAGGAAGAGAAGACTGAGGAGGAGAAGGTAAAGGGGCACGCAGAGGAGCAGTGGACGGACGCAGAGACATCTGGTGCGTGCCAGGGACAGGAGGAGGACGCTGACGCGAACCGCGACCACTAGGGCGAGCAGCTCGGACTGGCGATGCAGGGCGGGACGCAGGCTCACGACGCTCAGCAAGACCTCCAGTAGGACTAGCGTAGGGAGAAGGAGAAGGCAGGGGAGAGGCGGGCTGTAACTGTGACTGTGACGGGACAGGCTGCGGACACTCTACGGGAGGAGAAGGACTAGTGGAAGGCGGGAGACCAAGAACCTGCTGAAGGAGCGGAACGAAGTACGGTCGAGGCCGCGCAGCACGTCCAGAGACAGCAGGGACAGCACCAACACCTCCAGAGGCAGCACCAGCACCAGTAGCAGCTCCAACTCCAGCACCACCAGCAGCTGCAGAAGTACCCGCAGTAGGACCGACAGTCGTAGCCTCAGCGTCAGCACCCGCAGCAGCTCAAGCTCCAGAGGCACCCCCGGGCCCGGCAGCTCCAGTACTCGCAGTACGAGCACCTCCGGGACCCGTGGTACCAGCTCCCTCGGCAGCAACGGAACCTCTAGCACCCGCAGTACCCCCAGCTCCAGCAGCTCGCCTCCAGCGCCGGGCAAACCACTCACGCAGCTCCAGAGGAGAGAGCGGCTCGCGGCGTGAGGAACGGTCTGGAGAACCACCAGGAACAGAAGCAGTAGGCGCAGCACTCCCAGACGCAGTACCCCCAGGCTCAGCACCCCCAGGCACAGCACCCCCAGGCTCACCACCCCCAGTCTCAGCACCCCCGGGCTCAGTACCCCCAGGCTCAGCACCCCCACTCTCAGCACCCCCAGGCTCAGCGCCCCCAGTCTCAGCACCCCCAGTCTCAGCACCCCGAGGCTCCGCACTCGCAGCAGCACCAGAGTCACCAGTGACCTTGACTGGTCTACCTAAGACACACCTGAAGGGGCAGGACCCTGAGGGGGGGGGAGGTCTACTGGGGGGGGACCTGGGACCAGGAAGAGGGGCGGGGGGGGAAGGGACGGAGTGCGGTAGGGGAAGAGCCAGTAGAAGGGAACCGACTCGTCAAACGTGACGTCCTGGGAGGACAGAATACGACGAGAGGTGGGGTGGTAAAACTGCCACCCAGGTGCGTCAGGGGGGAAACCCAGGAAGACGCAAGGAGCAGCACGAGGGGACAGCTTGTCCGCAGACAAGTCGCGGACAAACGCTCGAGATCCCCAGACACGGAACGCCGACGCATCGCCAACCTTCCCCGTCCACAGCAAACCTGGGGAGGTCTCCGGTCTGGAGACCCTGGGCTGAAAGTTGATCTGATGCGCGGCGTACCGAACCGCAAACGGTCACAGAAAATGGGGGGCAGCCGCATGCACCATGGACGTACGGGCGACGTCCATGACAATGCCGATGCGGCGCTCAGCAATCCCATTCTGCTGTGGAGAGTCCGGAAGCGTGAAGGTCTGGCGGATGCCTCGTGCCCGACAGTAGGCTCGCAGAAGGCCGGAGGAGAACTCTCCGCCTCTGTCCGAGTGCAGACGCAAAACAGGAAAGTCCGAGCCGAAGCTCCGCCTGAGCTGGAGACGAGCTGCGCGGATCCAGTCGATCAACACCTCAGTGACCTCACCCTTGCTGCGCAAGGGGAAGACTGTGGTGTAACGCGAGTAGTCGTCAACCACCAGCAGGAAGTAGCGCTCGTGACCCTGTCCACGGACGCGGGCTGGGCCCCACACGTCCATGTGAAGCGTCTGCATCGGGGCCTCCGTCGGAGGAAACGGGGAGGAGTGAGGGGTAGCCCGCAGGCGACCCTCGACACAGGGGACACAGGGAGGGCCAGGCCCCGGAGGAAGGGGAGGGAGGGACCGGGGAAGGCCAGAGACAAGAAGGCGAGAGGCCATGCCCCGGAGACAAGGCAGGGAGGGGTGACCCATCCTGTGGTGCCACAGGAGGGTCTCGTGGGACAGGAGGCGACACGAGCAGGGGGCAGACTCAGGACCAGACCTGGACGCTGCAGCAAACACCTGACCCGACGCAGCTACCTGACCAGACGCAGGAGGAGGAGACGGAACAGTGAGTGTGTACAGGCTCGACCCCGGCCCACGTGTGAACGTGGTCAAGTGTCGACCCGTGTCCGCGTCCGTGCAGTGGGTGTCCCGTCGGCGTGCAGGGGTGAACTGGTCGACCCCCGCATCCTGTAGGTCAGCACCCGCCACCAAGTTCGTAGAGAACGAGGGGAGGTAGAGACCGGACAGAGCGCCAGACGGGACCGCAGGGCACGGCAGGACAGTGGAGTAGCGAGCCAGAACAGGACCCCCAGAGGGGTCCGCCAGGGAGACCGCCACTGGCCGACTAAGCGGTGTGAGTGTGGTGCGGTCTCGAAAGAAGGAGCGAGACGCCCCTGAGTCAAGAGTGAAGGTGAGAGAGGGCGGAGCCGACGCAGTACCTGAGAGAGCAGACTCACCAGCACCTGAGGACACAGACTCACTGGCACCTAGAGCGACAGCCTCACCAGCACCTGGAGCAGCAGCCTCAACAGCACCTAGAGCCGCAGTACCAATGCCTGGGTCGGGCAGGAAACACCGGTAACAGTCACCCTCCCCACTAATAGTCACAGCATACATGGCAGCAAG